AAAAAAATAATCAGAAGATGAATCGATTTGCCAAATAAAGTTTAGTTGCAGCCGAGTTAAAATGAAGCTGAAGCCTGGAGCCCATCAGCAGCTCAGCTTTAAAATCCAAAAATATAAAGTAATGTAATTTGAAATGATTTAATGAACGATCTGATTACTCTGATTCCCTTCTGTTCCTTTTTCCATCCATTCTTCCTCAGTGGTTTTTATTTCCTCCACCTCCAGGATGTGATGTTTCCGTCTCACACCTTTAACGCCATCTTTGTTCAGTCCGATCAACACATTAGATCCTTTTCCTGTGACGCTCCACTGCAGCATCATAAACACATTCTGCTAGCTTTATGGGACGTCTGCTGACAGGTTTACTGCACTGTTTGCAGCCTGTTGTGTAACTGGTGTCCAGTATGAGCCTTTGCTCAGCAGTGGGAACATCTGGGACGTTCAAACAGCTCCGACCAATCAGAAGGAAGGAAATGGGATCAAAGAGAAACCTTCTTCATCCCGCTGGAGGAGCTGCTTTAGCAGAACTTACTGATGGCCTTTGGTGATTTGATGACGATGTAACAGCAGTAGAGCATGATGAGGCCGGTGAGGATGAGGATGATGATCCCCAGAGTGAAACCAGCCTAAAGAAGAGAATCCATTCAGCTCACAGCAGAACATGCAGCAAACGCCCAACGAGAGGAAACAGAAAGCCGCCCCACCTGCTTCATCCCCCACGGAATGCTGAGGATGGACGTTCCCATCATGGTGTTCCAGATGGCAAAGCTGCAAGGAAACACAGGAAGTCAGCAGAGGCATGAGGGCCGGCGGATACGCGTCCCGCGTTTCACAGGCCGTACATGGTGACGATGCTGGGATTGCTGGAGGCCGGGTCGCTGTCCGACACCTTGAAGGCCGTCCCCAGAGGACTGTAGATGTACATCTCCTCGGCTGTGGGGATCACATGGTTGGGAGGACTCTGAAGGGGGAAAAGAACGAGGAATAAGGAACGGCTTGATTAAGAATTGAAAGCGGCGTACGAGCAGACCTACCAGCACGGCATCGGAGGAGCCCGTCAGTCTGCTGTAGTACTGCACTCGACTGTTCAGGACGGCGGCCTCGGCGGAGATCCGCTCCTGTGGGTCATCACTCACGATGTTCCTGGGCTCCACATAGAACGGCCTGCAGGTCCCAAACACAGCGTCACAGGTGGAGACGGTCAGGATTAATCCGGATTACAGCAGGAAATCTGGATCACATTCTGGATTCATTGAAGTCAGGCTGAATTTTTAAGGTTTAGAGTTCATCCAGGAGCCGGTGCCGTTTTTTACTGCCCTAGAATCACCGAGCAGGATGCAGGACAGCTTCAACGAACAGCGGCGGGTTAAACGGACAGCGGCGGGCTGAAGGAACAGCGGCGGGCTGAAGGAACAGCGGCGGGCTAAACGTGTCGGGTTCCTGCTCTGCAGAGGTTGATGCAGCAGAAAGTGTTTGTGATCCCTAATGACCCAGAACTGGTTGGTCTCTGTGAAATACCAGACTGGATTAAATTCACACCCATTGCTGATGGAGGGACTAATGCAGAGGTGGAGCTCAGCTCACACCTACTTCCCAGAGTCTACGGTCTGTGTGACTTCCAGGAAGCCTGGAGAAAAAACATGTCTGCTTATTATCAGGTTTAAACATTCAGGGAGAAAAAGATGGAGGGAACGAAAAACAGACGGGAAAAACTGGGAGACTTCAATCCAGGAACATCCGGATCCCTCCGAGTGTCGGCTATCCAGGACTGTTAACCAAGGGAAGGATTTAGGCAAAGACAGGCAGGGGCCCCTCTGATTGGAGAAGACATCAATCAGCCCCC